GCTAAGAGTGGGGCTCTTTTTCTCTTTTATTTTGTATTCAGGTTACCTGTAGAACTCATCCCCAATTCCACACTAGGCAATGTAACAATCACAAGCTCTAGATTCAGCCACTTCTGAAAAGCCTGCCCCTGATTGCCTGAGGCTTTGGGGGGACATCTAGACACAAACCATAACACAACCTCCCCGTGCCTCTCTTGCAAGGATGTACACCCCACTGTGAGGGTAATTCACTTATGACCTAATCACCTCCCAAAGCCTTACCCCTTAATCCTCTCTCATTGGTTAGATTTCAATAGATCTAATTACATTCAGATCATAACATTTGGTGTTAGTACCAAATGCCTGGCACACAGTAGGTGCTTAAAAGAGCAAGAGGCAGTTTTGGAAGCCAGCTCCATCCAGCCCTAAGCTGGAGACGAGCTCAATCACATTCCCCAAGCCTGTGGCTAAAGGAAGAGTCTTGTCCTTGACTTTTCCTTGCCTCTTTGGTCTTGGTCAGAGACTGCTGCTTTGCTCTGACGCCCTGACCCTGCCGCCCCACCCCCTGCACCCCCCTGCACCCCCCGGCACCCCCCTGCACCCTCCTGCAGCCCCCCTGGCTCAGGGCCATCAGCGCACGCCGTTGTCATTCACTGTTTGGCCACTGGGGTGGATCTGGCGCTCTTCCTCCCGTCCTAGCGCCCTCCCTCCCAGCTCCCAGCCTGGCTCAGACCGCAGTGTTGGAGCCCAGCAGGGTGGGAGAGGGAGGATCTGGCTGGGAGGCTGGAGGCTGCTGGAGGGCTCTCAGGGCATGGAGGGCCACACCTGTGTGCCTCATTCCTACTTAGTCAGCAGGCTCCAGTGGCATCGATGGCACTGTGGCAAGGGTGGGACAAACCCTGCTGTGCCCTGTGTCCCTGAGCGAGTCATTGGAGACACCAGCCTCCCTGGGAGTCTGCATGCAGGCTTTGTGCCAGGGCCTGGGATCGCCATGAAATCCCGTAGGCACAGCACAATTCTACCCACTGAGGGCAAAGGGCCAAAGTGGGGGTGGGTGGGAGGGAGGCTGGGTGTCCCTGCAGCCAGGAAGTCTGCACCCCAGGAAGAACACAGTGGCCCGATGTATGTTTTGGGAAAGGTTGGGGAAAGAGAGAGAAGGCTGGAGACAGGCTGGGGGCCACCGTGGTGCTTCAGGGACTTCCAGAGTGGCTCCACTAACGTCTCTCAGTGACCAGGAAGAGCCAAGCACAGGCACACGGTGCAGGTCCCAGGATGCAAAGTGTCACACCTGGTTATGGCGGCCAGAGACACGAAGTTCCCATGGAAGGTGCTTTATGAATGTGAGACTTGGACCCCCTGAGTCCCACACAGCTCCCCAGTGATCCAGCCAGATTGGGGGTGGCAGACTGACAGGGTTAATGTTTGTCCCAGCACCTCCCCAACCACGCTGCTGGACTCCCCTGGCTGTCACCCAGCTCAGGGACAGGGCAGGGCGAAGCCTCCAGGTCACAAAGCACACAGTTAACTCGGGCTCTGCTTTGCTGGCCACGGGTCGGGTTCGCTCTTCCCCTCCCTCCCTGCTCCTTCCAACATGTGGTCTCCAGCAGGGGGGGGTGATCCTTGGGGGGAGCTAGGAGTCCCCCAAAATGACTCTGCCCTCACTCTGGCCTCACAATGGAGAAGTGGGGCTCTTAGCTAGGAATGGGGGGAGTCAAGACCGATCCAGCACAAAGCACAAGTTTATTTCAAGTGTGGCAGATGCAGAAGAGGCAGGAGAAAAGCTGTCTTAGCATCAGAGAGAGCTGCAGACCAACAGGGCTTCGCGCTGTGAATGTCCCGGGGAGAGACAGACGCGTCTGTGCCTACAGGGCCAGGCTGCTCGGGTCGATCGGGGTGGAACAGGCCGGTCAGCGTCTAAGCCTCATTTCTGGGAAGGGGACCGGGTGAGCTGCCGTGAATGTGACACTTCCATAAAGGACACGGCACACAGTACCGGAGAAGCTTATGGTACCAGGTACCTAACGGCTGTCAGCCATAGGAAGCTGTGATGATTTTACGATGTTAGTCATCCGAGTTTTGCCCTGGGTTTTGTTTTTAATGTTCCTCTAATCTGCCCCTGCGTTCTTCGGTCTCCCTTGATGATCCTACTTCTGTGGGAGCGAGGACAGGCCAAGGATTGCCCTGGCTGCCTCTTACTTCACAAAGGGCCCGTATCCGGCCCCGGGTCTGACCCTGTTAGTCATCTGCGTTTTGTCTGGGGGTTTATGTGTCCCTCTAATCTGCCCCTGCATTCCAGCTTGCAAAGTCTCTATTTTCATCATTTTTCCCCTTTGATTCTTTTTTTCATCCCTTCTTCCTCCTCCGTCCCTCCATCTCTTGTTTCTCATCCATGTGAAAAAGATCACCCTACTTCCTCTTTGTCTATTTCTATTTTGCGGCCTGCCTGTCTAAAACAGTAACTGTGGATATGTAAGTTTGAGTGTCTGACGTATTTCACTTATAACTTCATTTTATCCATTTACCTATAAATGCCTCAAGTTTATCTTTCTTTTTTAAAAATAGCGAATGAATTTTCTTATTTTAAAGAAATTAAAAGAAAAGCAATAAAAACAAAATAAGAAAAATGCAGGATGTCAAAACAAGATCACAGGAAATTAGCACGTCACTATATTGCATATTGCTATCTGCAAAATAGTCATTCAGATTACAAGATTCAGGTTTACAAGGCAGATCAGTTTATCTTTATGGCAGAGTAGTACTCCACTGTTAGCGAATACCGCATTTTCTTTGCCCGTTCATCTGTCGATGGGCACATAGACCTTTCCAAGATCTAACTACTATGAATTGTGCTGCTATAAACACAGGTATGCATGTATTATAATACGATATCTTTAACTCTTTCAGGAAAATACCTAGAAGGAAAATAGCTGGGGCAAAAGGAATTTCTAATTTTAGGTTTTTGTTTTTTTGTTTTGGTACTGGAGATCAAATTCAGGACCTCACGTTGCCAGGCAGGCGCTAATGCCACTGAGCTAAATCCCTGGCCTAATTTTAGGTTTTTCTGAGGACTCTCCACACTAGTTTCCATAATGGCTGTGCTGGTTTACACTCCCACCAACAATGTGGAAGGCTTCCTGTTTCCTGGTCTCCTCTCCAGCATCTGTTATTGTTTGATTTCTGATGACACCCACCCTGTCCTAAGATGAAATCTTAGTGTTGTCTTAATTTGTGTTTCTCTGACAGCTAGCGATGTTGAAACTCTTTCCGTGTGTTTTTTGACCATTTATACCTTTTCTGAGAAGTGTCTATTCACTTTGGCTGCACATTTTCGATTGGGGGTGGTCTGAGTTTTTAAAGTTCTTTACGTATTTTAGATGTTCGTTATATGTTTGAGATGTCTGTTGCTAAACTCCTAAGAGAAGGCACTGAGATCCAGGTCTCACAGAACTCCCAGCCCATAGTAGATCTTGCTGCTGTCCTGGGCCAGCCTTGCAGGGGAAGCCGTGGCCTCCCTGTGCTGCCCAGAAGCCAAAGTCCTGAGTCCCCCGAGAGCCCTGGCTCTGTGCTGCTTGTGCTGCGACGGGTGAGATGGTCAGTGCACAGGCTGCTGCAGGCCCCCCAAGGCAGCAGGCCCCGGTCCCCGCGCTCCCCTTAGGCCCTGGATCCTCAGTCCAGGAGGGGGAGCCCAGGACCCAGCTTGCTTCCAGAGGAGCTCCTCCCAACAGGCTGCCCTCTACCTCCTTTTCGCCTTGAAGTGGTGTTGCGTGTTCAAAGTAGTCCCCACCCCCAGACTCTTGTGCAAACCTGTCTAAACCGGTCCTGACAGGTATCTGGAGGACCTGTGTTCACAAGCCCGCCCAAATGCCTTTGCACACCTCTATGGTCTATGGCCAGGCCACGCCCCTTCCCACCATGAAGCCACGCCCACTCCTCCCACCTCTTGGGTCTTTCCAGTTTCATTCCCCCCCCCCTCCTGCCAAGGCCAAGTCTAAGAAGACCTATCGGAAGCTGTGGCTTCCCCGAGGTGGGGCGGAGACTGTTTGCTCTGCCTGGCTGCCAAGCCCAAGGTGGTCTTCCAGGTGTCCCGGGGAGCACAGGTGTGGCTGAGGGAGGCCACTGAGTTGCCTGCTCCCACCCGGGGATCTCGGCAGGGACTCTCCCAAGGCCGCCCTGCAGGGGCCCTGGATTTGTTCCCCAGCCTCTGGACCCAGGTCTCATTTCCAGCTCCTCATTTCTGTAGGTGGGCGCGATCGCTGCTCCTGCATCTGTGACTGGTGAGGTGGGGGACCCAGTCTCTGCAGGCAACTTCTCAGTTTCCAGTCCTGGTCCTCTTCCACTTGCGTGCTGTGACACCTCAGGAGGACATTTAAATTCTCTGTGTCTTAGATTCCTGAAGCCACACAAGCCCAGTGACGATGATCTGTACTACATGGGACTCTTGGACTGATGGCACCCTGTAAAGGGCTCAGCTCAGAGCAAGCACTCAATAAACACTGGCTGCTGCTGTTAAGGGGACAAAGTCTGGGCCTCTGGAAGGATGGTAAAGAGGAACCATCTCTTGCTGAGCTTGCTACAGGTATACCTTGTGCGGCTTGAGCACCCTGATCCAGCTATTCTTGAAGCCGACAGTTAGAGCACATACGCCAATCCAACCTTTTTATCCTTTATTGCTCGTGTTACATTGACCTGGGTTTCTGGCATTCATGACAAAAGGGACTCTTAATGAGCATCCACCCACAAGCTGGCTATGGAATGCTGCCGAACTATGTGGCCTTGGACACATTATTTTCCTGCTCTAAGACTTTGTTGCTGTATCTGTAAAACAGGAGTTCCTTCACCTCTCTTGGGAATGGTTCCAAAGATGGGAAAGAGCAACCCATATGGAGCGCTGGGCCCAGTGACAGCTGTGGAGACCCCCTTCGGTCACAGCTGTTCTAAATACAGCCTCCCCCCACCTGCCCGGGGAGTCTGGAAAGCACCCCCTGCCCTGCCCAATCCCTCCCTCCCCACACAAGCAGAGCTTGGTTGGTGCGGTCTTTATTGATTCTCCAGCATTTTCCAGAAGAATCGTGTCACTTGAGGGCCACAGGGGACAGGGGGAGTAAAAAATAACACAAACAAACAGAACAGAAATGCAGGAGGGCGGTGAGAGGGGCAGGGACGGGGCTCCGGGGGCAGAGTGGGGTGGGGGGGCCTGGGTCCATCAGCTCTGCTTAGCTTTCCGCCACCATAACGGAGAATTCTGCAAGACAAGAACAAAGGTGAGTGAGTCACAGGGGCCCGGAGAGGGGCTGTCCGGGCTGCAGGGCGGGCACGGTGCAGGCTTTGCTCCTGCTCCGGGGGAATGGGTGCGCCTGGGGCTAAGGGACCGGTGCAGAGGTGAGCGGGTGGAGTTTACCTTATCTTTCGTATCATGACGCTGTCACACGCAGATTTGTCATTAATGTTGATGACAACAAGGCCAGCACCAATGTGCTCGCAGCGTGGGCCACTATTCTAAACGCTTCACATTTGACTCAGTTTTTCATTGTTACGTCTGTCCTAGAGGGGAAACTGAGGCTCGGGATCAGCAGTTTCTCTGCCCTGCTCTGCTGGTTTTCTCTCCGGGAGATGCGAGAACAAGGAGGCCCCCCTGTCTCTGCGATGCCACGTCCGGGACCTGCCGGGGCGTGTGGCCTCAGGAGAGTCCCCGTCACCTCTGGGAAACCGGGCTAGGAGGTGGGAGGGCACAGGTGGGGATGCAGACCGGGGTCCCGAGGCCTTGCTGGGCCTTCCTTGCTGGAAAAGGCACGTCTCTGAGCTCAGTACCTTCTCCCACCAGTGGAGTGAAGAAGAATTGGACCGGGTGGGTGCAACGGCTCCAGAAAGGCCACTAAAAGTACCCGGACCCGTCGTACGGAACACGTAAGTAAAACACACTCTTCCATGGTTACGTAAAATGTCATCAGGGGAAGGGGGAAGGGACTCCCCGCTATTGCCACAATGCTTGTGAGGCTTAAAATTGTTTCAAATTTAGAAATCAAAAAGCAGAATGGAGCAACAGCAGCTCCATCATGGCTGTGACAGGTGAAGACACCCTCCCAGCGCCCCTGGCCTTTCTGGGGTTTGGCGTGGGACACAGACACCAGCACCCTCATCCCTAGGCTGCTCTGGGACAGGAATGGTGGACAGGCAGGTCTAGGAACTCAAGCTAGGGGTCAGCGAGAGTCCACCATGGGAATGTCCCAATCCAAGGCTCCAGGGCTGCGTGGTGACCACTTGGCTGGGAGGGACCCCAAGGGAGACTCAGAGGATCGCCCGGAAGCCAGGCCCCAGAGGCCTTGTCTTCTCAGCCGTGGGGCTCTGTGAGCTCTCAGGACCGTGAAGGACCTGTGCCTTTTTGGAGATGGCCTTGAGCCGTAGACCACTCATCAATATAGCTCACCTCTCAAGCTAGTGACTAGCACTGACTGGCTGTCTACACGGGCAGCATTTGAATTCTCACAGCCAGCCCAAGGAAGACACATATTCGTCTGCATTTTACAGATGGGGAAACTGAGGCCCGGAGAGTTAAGTCGCTTGGCCATTGTCAGCACAGCAGGTGCAGTTCAAGCTACGTACACTCTTGGGCTTCCTCCCTTACCCCAGAGTCTTCTGACCTACTCTGACCTAGGTCTAGGATGACACATGTCCCAGCTCAAATATCGCCATGGCCATGGTGCTGTCACATTAGCCCTGTTTTATTTACTTCATGGTTCTTAGCACACTCTGAAATGATCTCATTTGGGTACTTACTTATTTTTGCCAGTGTGCTGGCTCTAGAATGCAAGCTCTAGGGGAGACATTGCACGCCCAGGTTCTCCTTTGTCACCCACCCGGTCCAATTCTTCTTCACTCCACGGTGGGAGAAGGTACTGAGCTCAGAGACGTGCCTTTTCCAGCAAGGAAGGCCCAGCAAGGCCTGGGGACCCCGGTCTGCATCCCCACCTTCTCCCCACTCCCCCTCTCCTACCTAGGAATGGGTGGATGGGGGGAAAGGAGATGGCTCCTGAGACCTTGGGGTGCAGTGCATGCAGCCTTCAGACCAAGGAGGTGAGCGGCAAGATTCTCATCTTGTAGATGGGGAAGGAGCAGCCCTCTCCTGAGCCCAGAGAGGCTGCTCCTGGCGGTGGTCCTGGCCCAGCTCCTGTGTAAAGGACACCTCTGTCCACCCTGCCACTTAATCTGGCAAACTGGCCAGTCGCCCTTCCTTGTCCCGGGTTGCCGAGCTGTGCCTTTCTCCCTGGAGCTGGGGCTCTCAGGCTGCTGCTCAGGAAAACCCCTCTGGGCCACACTGGGCAGGACCTGGTGTGAGGGGTCCAATGGGACAATGGTGAGGACCCCTAACGAGAGAAAGCCAGGCAGTGTGGAGCCTACTATGGGAGGCATTTTGGGATCATGGGGTTCTTTAGAGTCCCTGAATCAGTCCCTCTGCGCACCCTAGGATCTTGGCATGGGGCTTTGCAGGGGGCACAGGATTCTAATTTTATGCCCCTCAGAACCTTGCCCAGGGCCTCTGTATAGAAACTGAGGGCAGGGACACCTCTCTATCCCTTTCCCGTCAACCTCAGGGCAAAACTCTTAGGAACCTGCTAATTAGCTACGAGCTGTCATGGCAAAAGGTCTGCTCTGAAATGCTCAGGTCTCAGCTTCAAACAAATGACGAAACAAAGAGTGGCAAAGTCCAGGGTCGGGTCTAGGCCGGCAGACTTGGCCCGGATCTGCCACTGGACATCCCTGGACAAGGTGCCCACCCTCTTTGCTCTTGTTTTTCTGCTCTGTGAGGTGTCTGGCCCCAAGAATGTCCCATGTCACATAGGTTTGGAGCGGCCCAGCGAAGGGTTAACTCCCTTTCTCACTTCTGTGACCTCTGACTGTGCCTCAGTTTCCTCGTCATGAAGCTCAGGCTAAGACCTGCTTCCCGGGCCTGCTCAGAGGACCTGCACCAGATCTCTAGGTCACGCTCTGCAGGCTCTCAGCTCCTGGCAGCAGCTGTCATCCACACACTTCTGTCCCTCAGTCACCTTGAAGCCAAACCCGAAACGCGCCCGGCACCTTCCTGGACACAGAGGACCACTCTCTCTTGCTGCTGTCCCCGGGCTATTGTTTGTCTGCAGCGCTCCCCACCATCTCCTGTCTCCCCCATCCCCTTCCTCCACAGCCAGCACCCCAGGGTGGGTCTCAGTCTTGTTCCATCACTGCTGACTAGGTGGTCATGGCCACTCATGTGCCTCTCTGGGCCTCAGCATTCTCATCTACGAAGTGGGTTCTTATTTTTAAAGTACCAAGGAAGCCTGATGGCGCAACTAGAGACAAGCAGGTGACAAACGCAAACAGATCTCCCGGCGCGCGGCTTATAAATGTGCTTTCTACCTCCTTGGAGCTCAGCACAATTGACTCGAGTTGGAGCTTTGCAATAACAGCCATAACAATTCTGAAACTAAGGACACAGATCTAAACCGAGGACATGGGAAATCCACAGACGAGGTACAAGTCTGTATCACGAGCTATTGTTCTGAGTTGGAATCCATCTCCGCCATGCCCATCCATACTGGAGTTTGTCTTGGTCCCTCAGTTTTCTCATCTGTAAAATGGGACTACTGAGCCCATCTCCTCATACCAGAGCAATGGTATGATGTGGGCATGTGGGAAGATGGGGGAGAAGTCCTAGCACAGAGCCTGGCACATGGGGCGTTTAATCCAGTGTTGCTTCCCAGGCTTGTGGGGGAGTGTTCCTTTGGAGGGATCCAGAATATTCTTCCTCTTGCAAGACTCCCATACTACAGCACTACTTTTGCAATCAGAAGCCTTCCCAAGGCGGCCTGGGGCCCACCTGCTCTGTTTTCCTTGTCCAATCAGGAGGATATGGACAGGGGGAGGAAGGCTGCAGACCACGGCGATGGGCGATTCTGTTCTTTCCCTTAGGAAACCGAAATTAGCCTAATTAGGTCTGCCCAGGCCGGGGTGCTGTGGGGATTGAACAAATTTAGAAGCTATTGACAGGTGAGACCAGCACCCGCTCATAGCCCCAAGTGACACTGAGACTCTTTGAGTCAGCGTCTGGAAGCCACACTGCTTCCCTCCGTCTCAAGGAGCAGAAGGAAGGGATGGGCTCCTGGTTTATCGCCTGCCTCTAAATAGCTCCCGGGCTCAGTTTCTTATAAATTCGTGGTGCAGACAAGGATCACTTTCCAATCATGCAGGGTCATTTGGGGTCAAGCCAAGCAGCCACAAGGAGGCGGGCTCGCTGGGAGCCAGGTGGCCTGGATGCGTTATCCCAACTCCTCCTCCCTGGCTCTCTCGTCCCCATTTCACTTACAGAGAAACTGAGGCGGACTCACTCTGTCAGAGAGATTCTCTCTGCGAGGTGGCTCATGCCCAGCCATGTCTCTCTCTCTGAGGCAGACAGCAATGACCCTGCAAGCCACCTGGAGCTGTAGCTCTAAGATGCGGAGGACAGGGACACAGGAGAGGGAACATCTACCCTCCGACCGCTGCTCCGTTTTGCAGGAGGCCAGTTACATAAGCCACGCAGCCTCCTCTCTCCTGCTCCGTCTTATCTAGTGCAGCAGAAGCCTGGAGCTGGGGAGAGCACACCCGGGAATAGAGAGGAGCAGATTGCGAGCACGGGAACCATTTATAACCCAAAGACTCGCTTGGCTTGCAAGGGTTGGGGGTGCAGTCAGCAGACCCAGGTCCCACTCCGCAGAAACTGAGCCAGTCAGTGGCTCTGGCACCTAGCGTGACTGGGCCTCAGTCTCCACATCTCTCAGCGGCATCACTGCCTCTGTGTCCCAGACCTCCTCCGGCCACTGCCAGGGCACACAGGCAGATGACAGTGCCACTCAGGACCTGGCCACCAGGACTGTGTCCTGGCCCTGTCATGTACCTCCTTCCCTGCTTGCATGTCAAATCCTGGAGGGGCTGGCAGGCGGAACCACGGGCAGGAGGGGCGGGAAGAGGCTCTCTTCCTCCCCCTCACCTCTTTCTTGGACTCGATCTCTCCCTGTAAAGGAGCTCAGGAGGCGTAGGAGCACAAGCGTTCACATACACGCAGAGGAAAGGAACCTTTCCCAGAACATTCGCTTAATTCCAGCAATTCGACAGCGGGATGGGTATTTTTAGCCCCACATTACGGGAGCAGAACGGATGTCCCAAGGGAGGAGAAGGCTTGGCGGAGCCGGCACCCTCAGTGGGCAGTCCTGCCCCCCGTCCACCCCGGGGTGCACCGTGCACGAGGGCTTCCTCCGCACTCTGCCTCCCCTGCCCCACAGGCCACTTCAGGACAAGAGAGAACAGACTTTGCCGGAAGCAAGCGGAAAGAGCAGATGCCTTCAGGCCTGTGAGTGGTGCCACGGTTGGGCAATAATTATGACTATATTTTCTGGTGACGACAGCAAAATACAAAAGACAGACTTAACTTGGAAGACGCTTAAAACTTAGGAAAGTGGGTCCTTCGCTGGGGTTCACTGGCAGGAGAGACAGAAGGGCTACACGATCCTTTTGCACGTGCCTGCTTATACATGCGGCCTGAGGAGCTCACGCAGAGCCCTGTGTTGGGGGTCGGAGTTTGAAGTGAGCCCCAACGATCTCATAGCGAGCAGCTCTGCCTTCCTGGGCTCTGCTTTCCGGTTTGTGTGGGTGGCTTGTGGAGCTCTTGTGAGCTCTGTAGTGCAGTTGTGTGCAGCGTGCTTGAACCTCAGCCCCTGGCGGTCTGTATGTCCCCTGGGGTGGCCCTTGAGATGAGGAGCTCGGCTGGGGACACGTGCAGAGGGTCCCGATAAGATCACCGAGTTTCAGGACTGGCACTGCTATCTAGTAGCCCCGGGCCATTACTAAACCTCTCTGTGCCTCAGTTTCCTCCCTTACAAAATGGAGGTAGCACTGGCTGCTGGTTCCCACCACTGTTGGAAGGCAGTGATTCTCCCTGGGCACCAGGTGGCTTGTTAGGCACCCACGGCCTGGGCCGCTCCCAAGGAATGGGAGATGCCCGGCGGGGCGCAGAGCAGGTCTGCCCGCCTTTCTGCCTGGCCTCTGCAGTGACGGCCAGGCCCTGGGTGCCTTCCATCTCTTCCCCACTTCTCGATCCTTAAACCTTTCTTGAACTGGCTTGAACCAGCCTTTCAGGGAGGCTGCTGAGAATCAATCGATCGCATCTATAAAAGCCTTTGAGCTTCCTGGAAATCTTCACCCCAGAGACAAGAAAGTAAAGACTTATTATTAGAGCTGCATCTTCTCCCCTCTCCCTGCGATCTGGGACCTTAAAGAACCTGGGACGTGATCACTCAGAACCGGGAACAAAGTCAAAAGCAGCCCTGTGTGGCACTGTGTTTCCAAAGCCCCCGGCCGGCCTGCCCAGATCTCCAGCCTCACCTGCAGGGAGCCTCAGTCCATGTGCAGGTTCCTGCTTGCTCATCCCTGCACCCCGAATGAACACATCCATCCATCCACCCCTCCATCCATCCATCCATCCATCCATCCATCCATTCATTCATTCAGTTGTTCGTTAAGCAAACTCTTGTGCTGCTTGTGGCAGGCTCCGTTCTAAAGGCTGCAGACACAACATCAACAAAACAACCACCCCAAGTCTGAGTCCCTATCTGGGGGAGAGAAACAAGCATGCAACACACGATGCCACCAACTTGTGTGAGCATGTGAAGCAAGCAGCACAGCTTTGGGGCCAGACCAACCAGAACTTGGATCTTGACCTTTTTTCCCTCTGTAGCTATGGGGTTTGGGCAAACACTAGCCTCTCTCAGCCTCAGTGCTCCCATCTATAAAATGGGAATGGTCACAGCATCCACCTCAAGGGTAGCTAGAAGGATAGTGGGTAGAGCACTAAACACGGGGCCTGGCACCCACTCAGTGCTCCGTGATGGTAGAGGGTACAGCACGGCTCCAAACCACACGTCCAAGCCCAAGTCATAATTCATGCTCCTTGGTGTAGGGTTCACTCTGCTGCATGGGTGGAAGCCCAGAGCCGGAAGGGACCACGGCTTGGTTAGTGATCTGACCCCAGGTTTGAACATCAGAGTCCCAAAGGCTGGGCAGGAGCTCTGTGGCCTGCAGCTGAGGGTGTCCCCAGGCTGGTGAGCGAGGTTCGGGCCCTCTGCCTGCACAAGGAGTCACCCAGCCAAGCAAAGCACAGGGAACAAAACTGCTGGTGTCCCAAGGTGGCCCGGCCCCTGGGATATCACCATGCCCACCCTTTCTGTGTCCAGGCATGGAAGTGGGGACTGGGCTGTCTGCATCTCCCGTCTAGAAAGCAGGAAGTGTGGGGTGACCCACACTGCTCCCTGCTTCTTCTTCTGACCTGGTCATTGCGTTCCCAGAGCTCAGTGCATCGGCACAGGGTGACCTGGGACTGTGTTCACACAGACCCGGATGAATCCTGGCTCTCATACTTGCTGGCTGTGTGACTTTGGACTTCTGAGCTCCTTGTCTGCCTCCGTACCTATGCCCCCTGTCATCCCAAGGTGAAATAAAGTGACACTGCACAGAGCCCAGCAGCGGCCTGGTGATTCTCCTCTCTCCAAGCAGCCGCTCTTCCTGCCCCCTGGCTACACCTGCCCTCCCATCCCGGCTTCTGCTGATGTCAGCACCTTATCTGGGCCTCTCCGAGCCCCTCCCGGGATGCAGCACGGCAGCCTCCAGTCTCCCAGTCCATCAGTGCCTATTACCTGAGCTCTCTGCTCTGCCTGGCACAGACGGAGCATCCCTGGTCCCCAAATCTGAAATCTGGAACTCTCACAGTGCCAAAATAATACTATGCAAATATTTCAAAGTCTGAAAAGCTCCCAAACCTGACAGGCTCTGGTCCTGAGTGTTTCAGTGAGGGGGCACTCAGCCTGGGGGACCCCTTGGCAGCACTGTTAACCCTGTGTGGATAGAACAGAAGTAGCATCCCAGCTGCTGCTTGCTGAGCACTGACTACATACTAGGCAACGCGCTGAGCCCCTGCATATCATCGGAGCTCTGGGTTATAGAGCCACAGAGCCAGGACCGGAGCTGATCTAAGCTGGTTTAGAGGCTTCATCTTTGCCTTCCCGGTGTTAGGCACTGAGCTGTAGCTCAGGAAATGTCTCCTGGGTCTGTTGGAAGTTTATTTGGCTCCTTAAAACCCAGTTATGGCAGATAGGGAGGCGGGGAAGCAGGCCAGGGGCTGCCTAGGTTTTTTTCGTATCACTTAGGTTGACTGTGAGCAGCCAGCCATGAAGACCCTGCCTAGGACTCCTGAGCTGTGGCCGCAGGATCCTGCTACAAATAAAAATAGTGGCCTCATCCCGAAGCCCAGGCTGGCGCCAGGTGGGACTCAGCGCTTGCCGTGGATCTCTGAGGACGGTGCGGGGCAGCAGCTGCCACTCCCCCAGCTCACCAAGGACAGCCAGGCCACCAGTGCCCACCAGCGCCCCTGCAAACCACCTCTGCCCTTCCCAGGCCGTGTAAGCAGCTGGGTCAGATGGCGGGGCTTGGTAGGGATTCTCCATTCTTGTTTCGGCGAAGCCACCTTTCATAAAATTGCACACACTCTCAGGATCCTCACACTTTTCCCCAAGCAACTTTGTACCTGTGGCCACTGAAATCCCACAAGGAGTCCAAGCAGGTGACAGGATAAACGTGTACATCCTGTGTGCCGGGCAAGGGGACCCGGATGTGGATCACGTTCAAGGTCATGGATGGTGAGGGACAGAGAAAGAAGCAGGGCCCGGGGCTTGGGTTCATACGTAGGCGACAGATGTTGAGTCAGGTGCTGTTTAATGGTGTGGGTAAAGGGACATATGCCATCTAGTCCCGATGTCATTTTGATTTAGTGGACAGACACACAGGGAGCCCTCGCTCTGTGGTGCCCTGTTCTAAGCACACATCCAATTCTGCAGGACAAGAACCATCATTACAGCAAAGGAGAGATGGGGACGCGGGGGCCCAGAGCAATTAGGTGACTTCCCCAAGGTCACGCGGTAGAAAGCTGGGATCTGAACCCAAAGACAGCTGCGAACGGTTTTCTCTTAAGTTGCCAGAAAGGCCGAGGATGGAGTGGATAGTGGCCGAGCAGGCTGTAGAGCCAAGGGCAGACCTGGTCCTGTGTCCCCGGCCCCCAAATGACACCCTGCCTCCCTGAACTGGGCCAAGCACCTTCAGTGTCTGCATCTGTAAAATGCATGATGCTAAGAAAGACAATGACAGTACTCAGATTTGTCCCGCAAATGGCAGGTAAGGCCAGAAGGACAAGGATGCAGGATAGAGGGTTGCTAGCTCTCCCCCTGCTCACCAAGAGCAAAGTTTTCAAAGCGGACTCCCTAAGTCCCAGCGGGCTCCCTGATGGCCGCTTTCCCTGGCTCTCCTACAGGCCTGGGATGGTCTGTTTGAGTGACACCAAAACCTATCTTGAGTCTTGAGGTTACAGGACACCAGGACGAGACGCTGAGGAGAGGGAGATAAGGAATTTCCATCCTGATATCGGAGACTGCGAGGCTTAGGGATCACTGGCCTCGTCTCCTAGGGTTACAGACAGGAGCCTCGGGCTCAGAGGAGGAAAGAGCCAGGCCAAGGTCACACAGCCAGGACAGGCAGACCCCGGACCAGCACCTAGGCAAAGTGCAGAGAAAATCCCAAATTCTCCCTCACTCTCCTCTTAGCAGGGAAAGAAAGAAAACAATCCATCCCTCTTGGATTGTTCAAATTTAGAAAAATATAGCACTTCTGGTATTTTTTTCTCCTTTTGCCTGACTGTATAGACGGCCTTTCTGTTTTAATCTTCCCTTCCTTGTGACCAACATAACTGAAAACTCAGCACCCAAACGTTGCAGCATCCACACCGTGCCCAGCACCCAGGTCGAGGTACCCACCGTCAGCCCCGATTTTGCCGTCCCCATCCTTGTCACCAGCGGCCATCATCCTCTTGGTTTCTGTATCAGACAAGTCTCTGGCGTCTGCAGAGAAGCCCTTTAGTATGAATCTGGGGGAGGAAGCCGGAGAGGTGGTCAGCCAAGGTCACCTTGTGGAAGGTGGGCTGGCATCTGTGCAGAAAGAGGGCAGCTGGGACAGGCAGCAAGCTTCGGGCGTGCGTGCTGCTGGGCTGACCGGGTAGCCTGGTCTGCATGCATGAGGGAAGGATGAGCCATCCCGAGGAGGGCTCACTGCACTTCAGCAGGGACCTGCATATGTTTATTTACTTACAAATGCCCACCGTGTCTTTTCTATGCCCTGGCTATGCTGGGGACTGGGGACATTGTGGAGAGCTCAGAAAGCCACCTGCACAAGAGGGCTGAAGGTCAGGCACCCCAGAGTACCCGCATGGAGTGATAGACACTTTGATAGCAGAAGCTAAAGGTACTCAGAGGAGAGCGGAGGAGGAAGGTGACAGAGGAGTTGCCCTGTGTGTGTGTGTGTGTGTGTGTGTGTGTGTGTGTGTGTGTGTGTGCGCGCGCGCGCGCGCGCGCACGTGCACGCTCGTGGTGTGGGGCAGACAGGAGAAGGTTTCAGACAGAATGTAGCCTTGTGGGAAGGTTTGGGGAGACATTTCCACTTAGAAGGGCTCTCTCCATCCCCTTTCCTGTCTCTTTTTGAAAAAATTCAAGGCAGCCTCGGCCAGAGAGTGGCACAAAACACAGCTGGGCTGGCAGATGTGGGCCAGGTGGCTAAGGAGGGTGACGGGAGGGTTCTGTGCAGAATCTGTGTTGTACTTTGTGGCCCTAGCTGCCTCCTCCTCCCCCTCTCTCCCTCCTCCTCCCTCCCTCCTCCCTCCTCCTCCCCCTCCTCCCCCTCCTCCTCCCCCTCCTCCCCCTCCTCCCCCTCCTCCCCCTCCTCCCCCTCCTCCCCCTCCTCCCCCTCCTCCTCCTTCCCCTCCCCCTCCTCCCCCTCCTCCCCCTCCTCCCCCTCCTCCCCCTCCTCCTCCTCCTCCCCCTCCTCCTCCTCCCCCTCCTCCTCCTCCTCTGTGCTTCACTCTATGGGCTCCTGAGTCTCCAGAGCTTAGACGGCTCTGAAAGCTCTAGTCCAGCAGAGGTGGGGGCTGCGGGATGGTGGAGGTGGAAATCAATGCAATCCCATCCCGAGGGCCTCTGTCTTGCCCTGGGGCAGTGAGGACAACTGCCTCTTCATTTGTACTGAATTATTTAGGAGCATCATTCCATTAGCAATATTAAGTGGCTATAATTTAACCTAGTTAGTTGCACTTAGAGTTCAGGTTTTGGTTCTCCGGAAGCATGAGGGCCGGGAAGCACTTTCCCAGTGCCCTGGGCCTCAGCCCCGTCTGTGGGTTGAGGATGCAGGGAGAGGGGCAGCTTCGATGCACTTGTGAAGGCAAGAGTCTGCCCCACCCCCGCCCCGTTCCCCTCCCAGCCTCAGTTTACTTCAGTTCTTCCTCCTCGATGAAGCCACTCTTGTCCTTATCCAGGATTTGAAACACCATCTTCACCTCCTCCCGGTTCTTTTTCTTCAGGCCAACCATCTGGAAGAAGCTTTTGTGGTCAAAGGATTCGGCAGCTGTGGGAGGAGACTCGGGTTAAGATGGGGAGGAGAAAGGGGATGTAGGGAGGGTGGGAGAGCGGGAGGTGTCGAGGTGGCTCTGAGGATCTGTATCCCCCGCTGGGGATGCACCTTCACTGGAGGCTGACGGGTCCATGCAAGGGGAGGATGTGTCCTCAAGGTCATGTGCTATCGGGGAACAGGTGGCTTCCTGCCTGGGCCCCTTCCTCTCCAGCCTGACCCTGTCTCCTCTGCACATTTTACCAAGCACGGGAGTAGCATTAAGGACCCGAACAGAGGTCTTTGGGCTCACAAGCCAGTTTTGCCACAGCATTTGGACAGTGGCAGGGTGGGAGTGGGCCTGGGACCTGAAGCTGGTGCCCGTGGAGGGTCTGTGCAGGGCAGGGCACGGGGCTTCCTTCCTGGCCTCACACTGGGTTGTCAGAAAATCCATACAGAGAAGACATGACATTTCTATCAAGGTCACACAGTGTGGGGAGGAGGGGGAGGACCTGGAAGTCCTGGTTTTACTGCAGAAATCCACTGTGGCGACAGTGTGCATATGTGTGCCAGCCAACTCCCATCCCAGACCAGGGCCACTCAGCTAAGTTTCTTCTCAGAGGTGACCAGGTGGCTCCAGGCAAAAATGATGAGAAAAGCTCTGTATGGTTCTGCCTGTGTAGATGGCTCACACAGTGCCAAGGAAGAGCGGCTTCCTGGAGCATCCTGTGCCCAGGAGAAGGTGCCAAGCAGACAGGAGATGAGCCCTTTCCTAGCCCCCAAATTTTCTACATCCTATGAGCTCCCTTGTACAGTAGCCAGGAGCAGGTACCATGTTAGACTGAGGACCTGTGTGTGTAAGGGCCCTGGGGCGGGTGGGGGCTGTTGGGGTGTTCCCATTTCTGCCCAGAGCTGAGGGAGGAAAGTTAGTCCGTCCACCTCTGGCATTAGGGTACAGACCAACACTACCTGGACACTACCCCCTTCTAATCCCTCTCCCACCAGGCTGGATGACCTTGACCAAGTAGCACAGCCTCTTCCAGCCTCAGTTTCCCCATCTGGATGAAGGGAGTGGAAAGAGGGGGCAACAAAGCCCAGAGATCCTAGAGCATCCAGGAGAGGTGACACAGTGTCTCCTCTGCCTGGAGCTTGAGACTTAGGGGGCTTTGGGGTGCTGCTTCCAGAAGGTCATCTCTGGCAGTGAGGTGGCTTGAGCCTGGGGAGGGGAGCTGGCACAGTCGGGGGCCCAACAAGGAGCCATCACTGTAAACCTTGTCCAGATTGGGGGTGGAGAAAGGGGGTGAAGGTGTGCGCCCCTGCACCTCCTCCACTACCACAGAGGGGAAGTCCCAGCTAGCACACGATCCCCACCGAGGTCCCTCCTCGGCTTGGTCCTGGACCCGCAGCATTCAAGTTTGTGCTGCTCTGGTGGCCGGGCTCCCTGCCACCCCAGAGTTTGGGGAAATGCTGGGGACCCTCTCCGCCCAAACCCGGCAGCCAGCGCCCTGCTGACTGCGCTGGCATTTGGGGGGCAGAGAAGGACAGGCCAGCTACTGATCCGGGTCCGTCCGCCCGCGGGGGTGCAGGGGCGAAGGCGGCGGATAAGGGGCCCGGGCTGGGGAGGGGAGAGCGCAGCTCACCGGCACAGGCTCCAACCGCCTTCTTGATGTCCTCAGCGTTGAGCAAGTCTGTCATCGACATCCTGCAACTGTTTGAGCGGGCAGAGCAAGTGCGAAAAGATTATAAAGTGCTTTTCTCATCATTTCTGCTCATATGACCAGCGCTGCAGTGCCGCGCGCCAGGCGCACGCCCGCCCCGGCCTGGCACGGCGCCAGGGGACGCCCTGCTCTGCGCGCAGCCGGAGCGCTCAGTCCCGCCGAGCACCGCGCCACGCGGGCCACCTGCGCCCGCAGCGCCCGGCCGGGTGCTCAGGACCTCGGGGGCTGCGCCTATGCGCCCTGGCCGGGGCGCGATCTTTGGGATTTAGGGGGCGCCCTGAGCCACCAGCCAGCCGGGTCTGGAGAGTTCGCCTGCCTTCAAGGGCGCTCGGGAAGCTCCGATCTTGGTCGCAGAAGTGTCCTGCCGCTTGGGAAAGATACCGGACGCGAGGGTCCCTGCTCGCACCCCCTGAGCCTCCAGGCCCGCAGTCAGCCCTTCTCTTCTCCTTCCTCGGCCTCCTGTCTCCTCTGTCTCGGATGCAAATTTACACTGCAAAATCTAAGCGCTGAGGTCCTAGAAACTTGACCCACTCACGACCCAGGGCCCGCGAGAGAGTGTCAGGAACAGGGACAGACAGGAGCTTCTCAGGCTCTATGGGGGAGCCCCACCCCACATCTCACCGGGGTGCGCATTCTGAAGCCTGATTTAATTTAATTTAGTTCATTTATGTTTCAGGCTAGCTTGAGTTTGCAAAGATCCTCTCTTAGACCTCCACTAACTGCTTCCCTTCCGACTGGCCTTCCCATAGCCCTGTTTGGGGCGCTGGGGATGTGGGAAGCTATTCAATTGTATTTGGCGCTACCTCCCCTACCCCCACCTCTAGGAGCTGGTGTATGCTTGGAGGGGGAGTGGCACACTCTCTAGACCCAGGCTTTGTGGTTTGAATGTCACCTGTGTGAAAGGTGACATTTTCTAGCGTGATGAAGCCAGAGAGATCGGTTGCACCTTCCCTGGGGTCTCCCAAGGATTGAGTCTGCAACCAGCTGCCTCTAGACTTCATGAATACTGGGCAGGAAGGCAGGGGGCCCTGGGTTCCAGGTCAGGGGCTGCACTAAGACCCCAGTGACCTTGCAGCGAGATCTTCTTCATCTCGGCACTTTACTCTGCCTCTGTGGTGCTGGAGTCATAGATGGCCCCGAAGTAGAGCCTGGAGACCTGGATTAAGGTACCAGCAGGTGGGCTGGGTCAGAGACTGTGGTGGCCTTCGGAGATAGGGACCAGGGACAGCTGCTCGGCTGCTCAGTAGCTCAAGTTCCCTGACACTTGCTGTCAACACTATGTCCCCTGGCTGGGCCCTGGCTGGCTGCCCTTCGTGGAAACCTTAGGAGTGGCTCGATCCAGTGCCTCCTCTCGGTGAGTCAGCTCCTTCAGGCCAGCTGGCTTCCAAGGCACCCAAGCTGCAGCTCCTGACCTGAGAGCTCTGGGTGCGAGGCCTCCCCTGCCGGCTGCCCCTTGTCCAGGTGGACCAGTGGTTCCAATGCGCTGGGCTGCTGGACTCCCTCACTCTGCTCGCTCCCTGCCTAGTGAAGAATCTGTTTCCCCAGCTAAGGACCCTTAGGCTATACCAGTGGGGAAACTGAGGCTGGAGAGAATCTATCTAAAGATACACCGTGAGTAAACGGCAGAGCAAGGTCCACCCTTGAGTCCATTAACTTGGAGTTAGTGGCCACTCAGTGGGCCTCTCTGTTGCCCTATCCAGTCCCACACATCCGAGCCACACACTGTCCCCTGAACATCCCCAGATGCCATGGCTGTGGCAAAGGCTGGTTCCTCTCTGACTTCCTCTCCCTCCTGCTGGCTTCTCAACTCCCCCTCGCCAGGCACAAGCGCCCTGGCAGAGCATCAGACAGTGCCATCAGGCCCTTTCTCTTTCCTCCCTCCCCTCTGGGTCTCTGCTGGCGGCAGCCTGAGAGTTCACAGGTGTCCCCCCCCCCCCTTTGTGATGCACAGATGGGGATGTGAGGGTCAGCCAGAGGGAAGGATTTGCCCAGGTCCCCCCGGGAGCCGGACCATCAGCCCCTGCTTCTGCTGCTCCCCGGCTGCAGCTCCCCACCCTGTTGGGGTGAAGGGGAGAGTTGGCTGTCCCTTCCTGCTGGCCTTGCCTCTCCATCCTCCTCGGGAGGTGCCACTTACCTGGAGTGGGGTGAGGGCTGGAGCCTGCACTGGAAACTGGGCTCGTGGGAGGTCCGGCAGGAAGTGAGCCTGGAGGTGGGAAGACGCTTAAATAGGCCTCGGCCCTGGCTATTTTGGGAGGTTGTGCTCCCCACTGCCCCCAGCCCCCTCCCCTTCCGGTATCAGGTACTCCCCAACCACGGTGCTGAGTGTCTGTATCACATTCACCTCCCTGCGCCCACTGAGCCAAGCCTATTAATAACCCTTGGCCTCTGCCTCCCAACATCGAGGCCCAGGCAGGGCTCGCCTCCTCCACGGAGCCTTCCACGACCACTTTGGACTGCAGCAGTGTTTCCTTCCTCCAAAACCCGCAAGGAAAGGAAGAGAAAAGGCCAGGGAAAGAATAGGATAGATACCGTCCCACATGCAAGGGCCAGGGCGCGTCCCCATGTAACATGCTATCCTGACAGCAAGCTTGTGGCACGGGTGGGGAGACGGCAGAGATGCAGGGTGCTCAGGGCCCTGCTGCCCTCAGCCTCAGGGTCTGGGAGAGGAGCTGGCACTTGCATACGATGACCCCGGACCCATGCGTGAAGGACAGAGATGGCTCTGGGTGTCCCTTCTTTGGTGTCTCGGGCTCCCACCTGTGAACGTACTCAATTAGGGGTCTGCCATAAAGCTCAGGAGAGGCTTTAGGCTTCTTAAAACTGTGTACAAAATGTCACAGGCACAGGCACTTTTATGGAGCAAGAGCCCTCATTCGGAGGATTTGCAAAGGAATTTCTGATATGTCTTGGATTGGAGATGACTGTCCAAGGAGTGTGTCTTGAAAAGCATGAAGGAAGAAATGAATGAATTTGACAAATATCCATCGTTGAAGACAAACCCCACCATCAGTCCTCTCCTCTCGCCCAACCTTGAAAAGCATCTCCAGGGCGCTAGCACTGTCCAGTCCTTGACAATGCCCGAGCGTGCCCAGCCTTCACACAGAGACTGTGTTCGAGGAAGGCTCCATGGGACCTTCACTGACCCACCACTGGCTTTGTGGATTGGAGGGATGAAGGGTGGACCGGCTGACGAGGCCAGGGCCAGATGCTGAGCAGGATGGCGACCCCAATGACCAAGAGGAATGGACAGACAAACTATGGGGTTCATGCGTGGCTGAATTTTCAAACCTGGTTCTCTGGAGGAAGCTAGTGCTGTGCGTGGGCTGGGGAACCCAGGAGGAGACACAAGATTTGGCAACCCCAGGATCCGGATCAGGCACAGGCTTTGCGTGGATCAGATCCAACCCATCACCACTATAAATCATGTGTGGCCCGTGGCACGCACTTCCTCATATCCTTTCAAGAGGCAGGAAACGCCTTTCCCATTTTTCTGATGAATAGATAAGGTTGGGAAATTTGCCTGAGCTCCTAGGGCAGAGACAGGATTTAAACCCAAGTTTCTTTGACCCCAAAGTACTTGTTACACCCTCTGTGTTACTCACTGTGTGCCCACTTCTGTCTGTGTCCCTAGGCAGACTGAGAGGACTGAAGAAGTAGAATCTCAGATTTTGTGGCCTTTGTGAGGTCACACAGACAGAGGCAGTGAGAGCCAGGATTGGCTCTAAGTTCCTTCTGATTGTGAAGCGTCATGTCCCATAGCAGTGAAGCAGGACAGGGGTGGGTGAAGCCTGTGTGCTCTGTCTTGAAACACTGCTCATTCCTTTGCTGTGCTAATGCAAGCAGGATTACCTGTTTTCGGAAGTAGTTAATTTTTACAGGGGCTTTAATGCCAGATAATAAGTCTGGAGGTTGGGTCTGTTTCGATGGTGATGATAGGGAAGCATGATTCAGGCTGGCGTAAGGCAAGGGGCCACCCAGTGACTCATGCAACTCGTGAAAAGCCCAGGGCAGTCAGGTATGGCTTGATCTAGCGCAGGGCTGCTCTGTCCCTGTTACTCAGCAGTACCCTGGGCACCCTGAGGGCCACAAGGGGACTGTCCCCTGCATAACCCCAGTGGGGAGAGAGGAGGCCACTGCCATGAAAGCCTGGTCCAGAGCTGTTATTAGCCATCTTTACCACATTGGCCACTGTGGTGGCCTGCATGAGGAGGGACAATCCCTGGTCAGAGGGGCTTAGGGTTCTGGCCATCAGAGCCTGTGAGGCAGTCAGCAAGGTGGGTTTTGGAGTACTCAGGGGTACCAGACAATGGAGAGGGTCCCTTAGTCCTCCATGGGCTTGGTGACAGCATGCATCATACTCCTGAGATGATTCTCTTTGAGCACCACTGTGCCTTTTCTGGCTTTGAGATCACCCCCTTCTGGCCCCTGAGTCACCTAAGGGTCAGTTTAAAGGTGGTAACAGTGGCCAGTGGAATTTTCCAATGTGGGGATTTCTTTTCTGACATAGGCGAGGTGCTGGGTGGGTGGGCAGGTGTTACTAATCGCCTTCTTTTGTCCCTTGGGTCCTAATATTGTGCATGGTCACCTGCTAGATATTTCCACACAGTTCCAGCAGTATGTATGGCTGCCCATATGGCAGCATCGTCCTCTTTTTACAGATAAAGAAAACTCAGGTTCAGAGAAGCCAAGCCATGTATGCAAGGTTACATAGCGTGCCAGGACAGAGCCTGGACTCTGCCTCCGCTCATGTCTGAAGCCTGCTCGGGCCTCCCGGCTGGTGGCTGAGTACAGGCCAGTGTGTGTGGGTCAGCAGTCTCTATGACACTGTCTGCCAAGAGACGGTCACTCAGCTGTTAGCTTTGCTGGAGATATTTCATTAGTTCACACCATTTCCACCTGCTGCGGCTGGAATAGGATACAGAGGTCCTCGCGTCCAGGGCCCGGCGGGCTGGACAGGCGCTGCAGGATCTAATGTTATTTATGAGGTCAGTCGTGTGGGGTGACGTGTATTGACTCTAAGGAATCTCGTTCCCGTTCCTGAGAGCCCAGTCCCCAGCCTGCAGCCTCACTTCCCCTCCCTCCTCCTCAAAGACATCCCTACTGGGATGGGGCCCAGAGGGAGCACCCTAAAAGGTGGGGCACTAGCCCTGGGTCCCACCTGGCTCTGCCTTTTGCCCCTAGGTAACCTTAAGCTTGTGGCTTTGCCTCCCTGGGCCTCAGTTTCTCCATCTGTGAGATGAAGCAGAAGAGGAAGCTATGGTGGGTGTGCAGGAAGGTTGTGACTGGGAAAGGGGTCTAGAGCTACGAGGTCCTGTCTTGCTGGTCACCAGAGCGAGTATCACATGGGGACTCTGCCTTGATCCCATGCCCCACTGACAGGACCCTGGTGGGCTTGCAGGGGGTACACAGAGAACACAGTGCTGCCCCCACCACGTTTGCGGGAAAGTATTCAGGACCAGAAGGGGACCTCCCAAGAGCCGCACCTCTGAGGGGCACAGAGGACAGAGTGGGGAGAAGCTGGGCAGGCCCCAGAGCCCACGGGACCGCACAAGGCTGAGGTGAAGGCCAGGCGCTGAGGAGCCAGGTGATGGACTCTCGGCTCCAGAGTCTGTGTCCTTCCCTTGCCTCCCACCTGTCTTAGTGTCCAGGGAAATGGGAGGCCTTGCTCCTCGTGCAGGGGGAGCATGAGAGGGGTCAAGGCAGTGCGTGTCCTGGCCCGGAACAGAGGATGAGGTGGGGGAGCTGACTATGTGCCTGGGGCCCTGCTCAAATCCACGAGGGGCCACAGGCTACAGAGGCCATCCTGCCCCCATCATCCCTGTCCTCCCCTGCCACACCCTGTCCCCTCTGTCCCATCACCGCAGGCACCACATCTGAAAAAGACTGAGAGGAGCATGTGAGTGTGTGTGTGTGTGTGTGTGTAGTACCATGAGATGTGACTATATGGTAAGTGTGTTAGTGGGTGTGTTTGTGCATCGTGTGTGTGTATGGTGTGTGAGCTATGTGTGTGTTGGTGGGTCTAGCTGTGTGTCTGGATGTCTGTGTGATGTATATGTGTTTGTGAAATCCCTGTGTAAGCGTGTGTGTGGTGTGTGGTGAGTGTGTGTGCGTCTAGTAGGGAGATGACCGGTCTCCAGAGTCTCTCTGGGTCCCCGTGGTGCCCACGGCTGGCTCCTGGGATGGTCAGCACTGGCCCTTCTTCTAGAGTGGCCAGGATGCCCCACGGTCCCCGTGCATCCTCACCAGCAGTGGCTTCTGTGCGCCAACCCAGCCAGGTGGGAAAGCCCTGGGCTCAGCTCTACGCATCCCAGAGCCAGGCACTGTGGCCCGGGTCAAGGTCCCAAAACAAGTGCCTAGAGTCCTAAGCCTCAGGACTTCCGAGTCAACTGTATCAAGGGACAGGGTCTCTACAGAGGCGAGTGCATTAAAATGAGGTCGCTCACGTAGGCCCCAGTCCAGTCTGCCCAGGGTCCTAAGGGGAAGAGGACATCAGGACTCTGAAATGAAGCTGACCAAGAGGTTGTGCAAGGCCACAGGCAGGAGGTGGCCACGTCCCAGCCAAGGACAGAGGCCCTGGAGACCCCAAGGCTGTACTGGAGGGTGAACCCCCACTGAAGAACTGAATGTGCCCCTGTCCTGCTGTGGGCACCCGGGAGTGGCCCTGGCTCCCGGCAGCCCTCTGCACTCACCGTTCCCAGGCAAGGGAGGGCACCGTCCCCATGCTAGGACCACGTTCTCATGAAGCACCTACATTTCCGTTCTCTTAAAAGCTTCTTTATAAAAGTGACTTATAGAAGCAGTGAGGAACAGACAGGCTCGGAGAAAGGGGTTCACCCTCAGGCCACGGCGACCAGCTCAGGGGCTGTAACTTTTGCTGTCAGAGGCTTTAGCCTCGCACTTGCAGCTCTGTCCACCTGCGGGGTCTCCATGTTTCCACCATGATGTCACCTCCTCCAGGAAGTCCTTCTTGGTCACCCACTGCCCTCCTGGCCTCCCAATAATCACAGGCATCCTCTGGGTGTCTCCAAGGGCTGTTTAGCGGGGATTTTAAGGCACGCCGTGGGCATGCAGCCTCCTGCAGGAGGGACTCCAAGGGGAATAAATCAAACAGAGGCTGTTATTTTTGGCTACATGGGCACTGTAGGTATTTTCTAAAGCATTCTTGGATTCCTCCTCAGGATGCCATCTAAATACATCTATCTACCTGCAGTTTACGAGCATCTGCTGGTGGGAAATGACTCTTTCAGGGTCTGCGGCCATCCTGGGGCTCCCCCACCCCAACAAGGAAGCCAGGTGCGGAGAATCTGCAGCCGGGGAGCAGTTGTGTCATCGTGGTCTTCACGAAGTCTGCGGGGTGCGGCTTGTTGAAACCTGGCGTGATGAGCTGGTGGCCGAAGCCAGGTGCTTGAAGGACATGACTGGACCATTGTTTCTTGTCAAATATTTATGCCTTCCATCCTGATTCTGGGGCAAATTCTACTGCAAAATTGTGTAATCTCAGAGGCTGGACCAATGTGAAAGCCCAGTGGCTCCCATCTGGCTCCGGGTCTGCCCAGCAACCCACAGACCAGGTTGGCAGCCAGGGCTGAGCCTGGCAGAGCGACTGTGCTGAGGCAGAAACCGCAGGCCACAGGGAGGCTGGACGGGCTGAGGCGCAGAGCAGCTTTCCCTCCCCCCCTCCCCCTCCTACCCCCCAACTTGCTGTCCCCAACTTGTCTCCTTGATTAGTCCTTTCTTTTCAGTGTCTTTATCTGGACTTTCTTCTTCCCCAGACCCAATTATGGCGCCTTAATTTCATAGATCTGTAGGATTGGGATTGCCCCTAATCATCAGTGCAAACATCTCAATGTTTTACTTTTTCTTTGTATTGATTTTTTAAAAAGATACAATCAGAACCCTCTATAACATACAATTTGCCGTCTTGACCATTTATAAATTGAAGTTGAGCAATCTGGGAAGCTGAGGCAGGAGGATCACATGTTTGAGCCCAGCATGAGCAACTTGGTGAGATCCTATCTTAACATAACATAGGAAATAAAACAGAGCTGGGGATATAATTCAGTGTGCAGGCCTGAGCTCAATCCCACATAGATGGATAGGTAGATAGATGTTAGTTTGAAGTATGTTCTCATTGTCAACTGTTCCATTTTACAGAAGGGTAGTCTGAGGCTGAAAAAGCCATCACAGCTCCCCAGAAAATGGCAGAGGAAGGACCCACATCCAAGCCTGTGAATCCCACTTCCCAGACTCTGACAAAGGGCAGAATGAGGCAAATGGAAGATCAGGGCCAACAGGAGAAAGGCCAGGCGCAGGCAGGGATGTTCTGACATTGTTGGGCCACTACCTGAGTTGCAGGCTCTGGTTTCTAACAGAAAAGGCACAAAATGTTCCATAAAACTTCAAGACATTTTCCACAACAGACAGAAGCCAGAGACAGAAGGGCCCCTCGGCATGAGTCCCTGTACGAGAGACACCCCAAATAGGCAGCATCGGATTCCAAAGAAGGTGGGTGTTTGTGGGAGTGGTTCCTCTCGGGTTCGAATCATAGGTGACCTGGTATTCACTAGGGGTGCCCGGCTGGGTCAGGGGACTGCTGATGGAGCTCCAGACTCCCATTTCTACCCTCTATAAATCAGGATGTACTGGTGTCCTTCTTTTCCGTG